ATTTTTGGCATTTTAATTATTATGTGTCTGGGCGTGGGCCTCTTTGGATTCTTCTTGCTTGGGACTCTGTGCCTCCTGAACTTGTGTTACTTTTTTCTTTACCAGGTTAGGGAAATTTTCTGCCATTATTTCTTCAAATAGGCTCTCTAACCCTTGCTTACTTTTGACCTCCTCTGGCACTCCTATGATGTGAATATTGTTATGTTTCATGTAGTCCCACAGCTCCCTTAGACTGTCTTCCTATTTTTTAATTTTTTTCTTTTTGGATCTCTGATTCATTTTTTTTCTACCCTGTCTTCTAATACACTGATCCAATGCTCAGCTTCCTCTAACCTGCTGTTTATTCTTTCCAATGTATTCATTATTTATGCTATGTCATTCTTCATTTCCTTCATAGTTTCCAAATCTTTTTTTATGTTGTTAAGCATCCTTATGATCAGTATTCTGAACTCTATATCTGATAGATTGCTTATCTCCATTTCATTTAGCTCTTTTTCTGGAGACTTCTCTTGTTCTTTCATTTGGGGCTTTTTTGTCTCCCCATTTTGGCTGCCTATTTGGGTTTGTTTCTATGTATTAGATAGGCTTGCTAAGACTCTAAGTCTTTTCGGACTGTCTTTGGTGCAGGCCAATGTCAGACACTGTTTGTGACTGGCCTTGAGTACCCTGTTTGGAGCTATCAACCCACAGCTTGAGGTCCCCTCTGTTGGGGCTGGATGTGTTTGGACAGACCAAGATGGACACCAGAGTCTGCTTTTCCAAGGCCAGGGTCCAGAAGCAGATCAGGCAGACTCAAAGCACTCTGAAGTCTGCCTCTGCCTGCAGGCTGACTAACCTGATTCTCTTAATGAACCTCAGGCTGTAGAAACTCCTTGGGGTAGGGCCAGAGGTTTATCAGCAGGGTGGGGCAATTGCTTCCCCCTCAGGCAAAAGCTGCTTGGAAGGTAAGTCGGCCTCTGCAGTATGGGGGATTCAGCACAGAAATCCAGAGGGATGCCCTCTGAGTTCTATCTCCAGAGCCCACAATGCTAGATTCTCCTCACATAGCTCCAGTCCACTCTGCCCTCCCTCTGCTGGAGCCCAAGGTGAGCGGCTGCACACGAAACTTTGTGCATTGGCTCTTTAAGAGAGTGCCTGCTTTTCCAGCTTTCGCTCCCTGGTAGAGAGAAACCCTGCTGCCTTTCACAGCCAGATGTTATGTGAGCACCTTTCTCAGTTCTGGTGCTCTTGGCTGGAAAGCCCAGCCTAGGGTTTAAGGCCCAGAGTGCTCAGTGGGAAACCCCCACAGCTGAGATATCCCTCCGGACCTTCAGCTGCTGCTTGTGGGAGCCCAGCCTGCCCTCTCGTGCCTCCGTACTTCCTACCAGTCTTTATGTGGTCTCCACTTTTCCTCCTTGGTTACGAGGATGCTCTCCAGTTTGTCTTCAGTTGCAGTTGATTATTCAGGATGGTTTTTCTATATTTTAGTTATAATTCCAGTTTGGTCCTGGAAGAGTGTCAGTGTAGCTTCCACTCAGTCCACCACCATCTTTAATCTCCTAACCCAAAGGTTTTTAACTTGGGGTTTACAGATGGGCTTTAGGGAGTGCCCAAACCCCTGAGGTTATGTGTAAAATGTGGTGTTTTCTGTGTGTATGTACTTCCCCAAGGACCAAAGCTTTTACCAGTCTGTCAAACATATTTGTGACTCCTCAAAAATGAAAACCACAGGTCTAAGCTATTTCTCTACTGTGACCCATGGCTGGTCTTTTGCTAAGGGTGGGACATTGTATGTCACAATGAAAGAGGAACTCACAAGCAGACTGAGGCAAATTTATTAAGCTTCCAGGTCTCTGGATATGGTCCCTCCCACATTTGACACTTACACTCTGCAGACTTGGTTCTCCACCACCTCCTCTTTTTGGATGTCAGGTGCACAAAACTGGATTAAGCTTAATCTTTGTTCGCATATTTTTTTTATCACCTTTATCATGCACAATACTTTTATACATAGGTTTTTTACTATTTTAGTTGTTTTGCTAATGTAATAAGCACCAAACATGAAAGCAGAACCCCAACAATAACCTAATCTAACTGTTCTCTCCAGCCCATCCTATCTCCCTTGCCTGAGGGAACCATTATCCTGAATCCCACGATGAGATCAATTTTTTTCGTTTTACAGTTTAACTGAATATATGTTCTTTAAAATGTTTTTCAGTCCTTGCTGGTGTGGCTCAGTTGGTTGGAGCATCATCCCGTGCATCAAAAGGTGGCAGGTTCAATTTCTGGTCCGGCTTCAATCCCTAGTCGGAGCATGTGCGGGAGGCAACAGATCACATCGATGTCTCTCTCTCTCTCCCTTCTTCTCTCTGAAAAACAGTTTTTTAATCTTAGTTGTATTTAACTTGATAATATCACTAGCCATCAGAGAAATATAAATTAAACCCACAGTGAGCCCTGGCCAGGTGGCAGGATTGGTTGGAGTGTCATCCTATACACCAGAAGGTAATGGGTTCTATCCTGGGGCAGAGTACTTGTGGGAGGCAACATCAATATTTCTCTTACATTGATGTTTCTCTCTCTCTCTTCCATTCCCTCTCTCAAAATCTATAAAAATATATCCTCAGTTGAGGATTTAATAAATAAATAAAACCACAATAGGACACCAAGATACACCCTCTAGAATAAAGTTTAAATATATCTTTATTGATTTCAGAGAGAGGAAGGGAGAGGGAGAGAGATAGAAACATCAATGATGAGGGAGTCATTGATCCGCTGCCTCCTGCATGCCCCCGACTTGGGATCAAGCCTGCAACCCGGGCATGTGCCCTGACTGGCAATCGAACCCCAATCACCTGGATTCTAGGTCGATGCTCAACCACTGAGCCATGCCTGGCTGGGCCAGAATAAAGTTTAAAACTTACAATGCCAAGTTTTAGGCAAAGATATGAAGTACTCTGTCTTTGGACTGAATCACCATAATCCGTGGTTGTTGGCTTTGGGAGAGCTCAAGTTAGAAGTTCCCAGCAGGGCTTTTATGCTACTCTGGCCATGTAATCAAGCCAGACACATATAACCAGTTAGGCCAGTGCCCCTACCTTGTCTAAGAGTGAAAAACCAGATACTCAGATAAAGACAAGAGTTTTGCAATCCAGCTGTAAATCAACTCTATCTTCCACAATATTAAATTCCAGAATAGGTATAACCATGCAGGAACCTTATTTTCTTTAATCTGCCCTTTAATTTTTTTATTTTTCCTTTTATTGAAACTGGCCTCAACTAGTGCCCTGACTCACCCACCTTCCTTCTCCCTTGCTTAATCATTAAGCACTCAGAACAATGAGGTTCTGGCCAGCACCCAATAGTCTTAGAAACAAAGCCTCAGATCTATTGGCCACAAAGAAAGCATTTCAGTCAAACAAGAACATGTAGGCCTCAGTTGTGTTTCAGCTCCAGAATGACATCACCAACCGCATCCTCGAAAAACCAGATGAAGCAACCCTGACATCAGGGCCAGATGCAATGATCAACGACCCCCTACCCTAGTGCTTACCAATCAGTAGAGACCACGAGCCTGACCATGATCCTAACTCCCTTAGTCACCATGATTAATGATTTCCCCCCTATATATAAATCCATCCCTTAGAAGCCATCAGGGAGCCAGGTCTTTTTTTCAATCCTCACCCAAGGATAATTTTTTTTCCATTGTTTTTCAGAGTGGAAGGGGGAGGGGGGGGAGG